CAACAACAAACAAACTCATTGCTGAGTTAGAACTAACTCGTAGGTGACTCTCCAACAGCTTCTGAAGCTGTCAATCACACAGCAGGGGACTGTTCATAGTTCTCCTATGGAGCTATTAGTGAACAGTACAGCTCCCTACAGACTACATCATGAGGGCTCCCTATATAACTAAAGACTCATGAGCATTATGTTAAGTACCAAACCCACTGTCATCAGGTCAATTCTGACTCACAGCAACTCTAGCAGACAGAGACCAGCCTTGTAGGGTTCCCAGCTGTAAATCCTAATCCTAAGGGACATACTGCCTCATCTTCCCAAGGCCTTGTGGATTCCAACTGATCTTCTGACTAGCAACCAAATACTCAACTACTACATCACAAAGCTCCCTGGCAAGTTTATTAATGACAATTAAATTAAAATCTGTACAATGGAACAAAGTGTTTGCCTTTAATGAACTGATAATGTTAAGACATAAACAAAGAAATGGCAGTTTTATGAGAGTTTACATGTAAACCAAACCACATTCACTTGCATTCCTTCAGATCAACTTCACAAATGGTCACTTCACTCTCAACCTGAATATTAAGATTATTATCTACAGTCTACATTCTAATAGCATGTACTTATGAACCTTAAATCAGTAAAAATATCAGAATGGCTGGCAGTATTTGCATACTACATCTCTTCCCAGCAACCTTTCTTGGACATGCCTCTCTAATACTAAAATACTGGGACCCAGTCATCAATTTAAAAATAAGTTAACATTAAGTATGGATATTCTTGTTGTTATGTACTGTCAAGTCAGAACCAACTCAGAACTGACCCATTAGCAGGCTTTCAGAGACTATAATTAGCATGGGAGTAGAAAGCTCATCTCTACACTGCAGAGCAGCTGATGGATTTGAACCCTGTGTCTTTGGTGTGGCAGCATAACTCTTACCACTCAACTACCAGAGCTCCCTCTATGGATATTAAAGGAAGAAAATGTCATTATTATTCATGTTTGAAATTATTGCACATTTTGTATTTTATAAGATGCACATTTGAATCATGTACAATTCAGCTAATAAAATAAATGTTACTTAGACTTGTTAACATTTTGCTTACCATTACAGTATCCCTTTCTTTCAATTTTGGCACTCAGTGAGACTGGACCAGAGGTAAAAAACCAACAGCCAACCATTTTTTCTTGGCTTTTCCGTACAGGAGTCTTGGAAAGTTCAAAGACTAAAATTAGCTTAATTATAACACTCTAAAGAACTCAAAGAACTTAAAAATATGTCATTTGGAATAGATGAAATTTCCACCAAAAACCCAATCAACCTTTTCAACCTCTCATTTAATGTTAGGCAAAATACTCACTAAAACACAAAGTGTTAAGTCTTTTCCTTCTTAAGAAAAGTGAATTTTGAGATTTAAGGTAGTATAATGATACCATCTTCTAATATAACATCCCTTAAGAAATCAATCAAACTGTATTAGCATTTACCAAGATGACAAAACTACTTTTAAAACAGAGTAAGTAAAAACAAACTTTATGTGTATACTGGGTAAATGGAGAAATAATAGAAAAATTAACAAGTATAGATTACTATGTTTATTTTTATATAAAATTAAAATTTTTCATTATACTTATTTTTATACATAATAAAACTACTATATTTTTGGAGGCCCTCATTTTTACAACATGAAATGAGCATATAGCCTTATGTTTCTTTAAAAATTTATCAGGAGGCAGAAATTTCACGGGTCTTTAATGACTTCTGAACTTTGTGCAATTAGTAGTATAATAATAGCCACAATGTAATGGATCTGAAATGGTGACTGAACACACCACCTATTCTATTTTACTTGCAAAAGAAAGGAAATAAGATTAATATGTTCCTCTTAAGTCCCATGTATCAAAAAAGTTCACTATAAAACTGAAAGATCCTTGCAGTTTATTTTTCTTTCATTATAAAGAGAATAAAAGTATCTTGAAAAAAAAAATTCTTTAAATCAGTCACACAGAAATTTTAAGGATATTTAACCTCCCAATTCTACATAATCTTTAAACATACAAAAAATACTTAGCATTGCCAATTTCCAGAAAGGTCTGTGTGTGGATATTAAAGTCACAGCTCTAAGCCAGGCCTAGGTGCTGGCTGTTCTGAGATCTCAGCCATCAGGGACCAGGCAAACAAGGCCACAGAGTAGGAAATGCCTTCTATCTCTCCCCAAACTAAAAGTAAACATTCACGTTCATTCTACTTTCTTAATGTGAAAATTTAGTAAAACAACTATTAATTCTTGGCCGTTTTCTTGTCTTTAAAAGCAGAAGAAAAAAACACCAAAACCTGTGAGCTAAAAAGTCTTTGTTACAATATCATGACAGCAAGTTTAAATTATCTCAGATGAAGTAAAAAAAAAAAAAATCCAACCAAAAACAACCAAATAAAAACATTCATATTTAAATGAAGACCCATTAGGTCCTAGCAGCTTGATCATGAAATTACAAGGTATAATTTTATATTATTTTAATAATATGGGTTTAGATAAAAGAATCTAGCTCATTAGAGCCCGTCTTGCCTGTTCTGTTGTTACTTATAGCCTGATTTTTCTTATCCGCCTGTAGTATTTCTGATGATTACTATAAGTTCAATGTTTTAATGTGGCCAAATCTGTCATAAGGAAATGATAAGTGAAAGGATTGCCTTAGCAGCTGTGTGCACTTACTTAATGCTAGAAAATGACACGCAGAATGGAGGGATGCACAGTATAATGGCCTGGGCCTCAATCACAGGCTGAGCATGATTAATACTTCCCTAATTACTGTTCCTCAACCTGCTATTATTGAAGAGTTTAGAATACCATAGTCCTATGAATGCAGCATGCTGGTAAAAGTAACTACTCTCTGTGTGTGCATTATTACTATTAAGCATTATTAATGCATTTCAAGCCTGTGTAACTTTTTGGCAAAAGAAGCCCTGAGCAGCAGGAACATAATCAATAGTATTAACACAACACAATTTGTAATTTTCCCAACCTACGGTTATGTATTTACAGTGAATGTCTATGGGATACAAGATTGCATTCTGTAAGCCATCACAAAATGACAGGCCAGAACTATCACTAAACTGCCTAAATGTGGGTACTACTGTTGAGAGAAAGCGAGGAGGAAGTGGAGGAGGAAGGGCTGCATGACGAACTCACCAATAGTGCTGGAGTGTTGACATCTATGTGACTAACCACCTGCAGCTCCCGCTTCACACTCTGATCTGGGACCTTGGGTCTTTCCAACACTGCCTTCACACTGTACCGAATGTTGCCATACTTCCCGGTGAATGAGGTTACCAGAGGTCTGAAACAAACCAAAGACATGTATTTACAAGCTTATTTTTCAGATAAAACAAACAAAACATTCTTAAGAGTTTGGTTTGGATTGAAAAAAAAGAGTCAGTCTAAGTAGGGATAACAGGATAAACATGTCTGCTGGAGGGTGAGATGAGAACCAGTTCCTACTACAGCTAGATGCAGAAAATGCAAAGAGCAAAGTTTCACTTACTCAGATGGAAGCTGAAAGCTGAATGGAAATTCATGCTTTCCAGGTTGTAATAAAATAATGCCTTCACCTAGAAGAGAGATTATATTTTATTTAACTACTTCTATTAAGTAAATGAAATTTTTTTTAATTTAAATTTGCTTTTATAAAAGGTTTACATGATCTAGTATATGCCAAAAGTTGATTAAACTGGAATTAAACATCAAATCTGTTTTTAGAGAGCCTAACTTATTTCAAATAAGAAATATTTTATACATGCACACACACAGACTTAAAAGTATTTTCTTAAAAAACTGTCTTCTAGCACTCAAGGACAGGGTTTAGATCTGTACTTGACTCAATTGTACCTTACAACAAAAACATTATACTGAGAGGGAGCCCTAGTGACTGAGCAGATGAGGAGTTGTTCTGATAAGCCTAAAACAGGCAATTCGAATCCACCCGCTGCTCCATGGGAGAAAGACAGGGCAATTTCCTCCCATGCTGCACAGTCACTGAAAACTTGCTGGAGGGTCAGCTATAGTAGGTTATGACTCAAAGGTAATGAGTCAAGTTTCTTACACTTGTTATGTGCTATTCGCCTGCAACTCACAGTGACCATATGTACAATAGCTCTGAAGCCTGCCCTGTCCTGAGCCAGTCTCACTGACTCCAACACACCTACTCCCACTGTCCCAGTTACTGTATCAATCAATTTCATCCAGGTCTTCCTCTCCTGTGCTGTCCCTCCACCCTTCCAAGCATGATGTCCTTCTCCAAGGATCCATCTCTCCTGGCCACATTCCCAAAGTATGTGAGATGGAGCTTCAAAATCCTAGCCTCCAGGGAGAAACTTGGCTTAAGCCTCTCCAAGACAGACCTATTTGTTTTCTTGGAGGTCCATAATATGTTCAAGACTCTTCTCCAGCACCACAACTCAAAGGCATCACTTCTTCCTCTGTCATCCTTAGGCATTGTCCAGCTCTCTGGTGAATAGCTAGTAATTGCACAAAGACCATGGCCTGGATCAGGCACATCTTAGTCTCTAGACTGACTTCACTGCTTCTCAGTACTCTGGAAAGGTCCCTGACAGCAGATTTATCTCATGCAATTCATGATTTGATTTTCTAACCACCAAGAGTGTTGACTGTGAAGCCAAGCATGTTGTAACTGTTAACAATCTTAATCTCTTCTCCATCCATCATGGTGCTCCCAATTGCCCCAGTGGAGGGAATCTTAGAATTCTTGATGTTGAGCTTCAATCCATACTGCAGAAAACAGTTCTTAACCTTCTGCAGCAAGAGCTTCATTCAGGCCCTCCTTAGTTTTAGCAAGCAAGGTTGTGTCATCTGCGTAATGCAGGTTTTTGATGAACCAATTCTGATCAACCAATATAGATTGAAAAAGTATGGCAACAGGATGCATCCCTGACTCACTCATAAATCAATTTTTTTTTAATATCATGGAAAAAAATCCAAAACTACGTAACCTTTGGGCAGAGATGAAAACTTATTTGTAACATTAGGAACACACAGCAGATACACCAATAGGACACGTTATTAGTCACATACTCACATCTGAGCTCTGTGCCATTTGTGACGGAGGGGCTGTTTTATCAGCTGCAGCCATGGCCCAAGTTTCCGCTATGGGTCAGAAGCTCACTTTAGCTCATGAGAGACTCATCTAACATGTAGGCATGAGAGGAAGGTGGGTCTTTTAGAGGCTCCCAAGGAAATCAGAACTGAGACCAAAATGGAGACTTGTATACCAATGTTCATAGCAAGGTCACTCATTCACCATTGCAAGACATGGAAACAACCCAAATGTTCAACCGCAGTTGAATAAACTGAGAAACTGTGGTACATTCACACAATGGAATACTATGCTACATAGAGGAGCAATGATTTTGAAAATTACTACAGAACTTTGGAGAGACTAGAGAGCATTGTTGACTCCCTTCGAGTTGTGCATGACTCACAGTGACCCTAAGAACAAAAGTCCTGAAGCCTTTCCATAACTATCGACATTTAACAAAGTTCATAGTTTCCAGGGGCAAGTTGTTTACGAAGTGGATGCCCCTCCTGCTTCCAAGGAGAGCTTATGCTGCGTAAACTAACTCAAGTCTCAAGGACAAATACTGTATAAGATCATTATTTTAGAAATACAGAGCTAACTACTAAAATGTGTATGAGGCTCTAAGGAGGGGAAGGGAGGAACAGAGGGGTGAGGACCGGTTGTGGGGGAAGTCATAGGACTGCCCGGTTTGATATGTGGAGGGAGAATTGGGTGAAGGAAATCGGAAAGATCTAGCAGGGATCTGGAAAGACAGGGTAATGTAGGGCACAGCCCAGTGCTGATTAATATTATAAAAATATAAATTTTATAACATGAATGAGAAGGATTGAAAAATAATATAAATGAAGAATAGTGTATACAATAATGTATACAAACTTTGTAAGCCAATATAAAATAAAAGTTAAAAAAAAAAAAAGAGTAGAGGCCCTTCTGAGACACCTGGGAATAGGTATGGCCAACCTGTACTATTCAGCAGATACTGGCTTGAAGCAGTGGCATCATCAGGGGACATGTGAGGCTGTGGACTACACCTGGTGACAGTGTTGAATCGGGTAACCTCAAAATGACTGCCTATAACCCTTCTCTGCAGAGTTTCAGCAGAGATGGGATATTTTTATAAAAAATATCTATGTAGGTAGTTATAATAAGACTGTTTTATCACCAGCTTATCTGTGTACATGTATGTATATGTATACCTCCAAGAGTAAATATCCATGCTAATTACTTTTTAAATTTTCTAATGTGTCATTTTTTGTTTCTTCCAGTTTTTATAGTTGTTGATTTTGCCAAATAGTCTACTGGTTCAGGGGTAATATTTTATGACCATATGTGAACTCATAACTTTTTTGAGAATGAAGTTGTAATTAAAGAAAAGAAAAAGAGAAAGAATAAAAAGGTTTCTACTCAACTAACAATAATGTTAATCAACATGGAGAGAAATTACAAACCAATTTTGCTAGTATTCATAAAATATAAGAATTATATTCAAGACATTTCCAATCCTATTTATCAAATATTATTTTATGATCAAAGAACAGCACAGAATGAGGATGTTCCGAGATTATATTTTTTTGGTCACTCTTTTCTTAAGTGAGCTGTTCAACGTTCTCACATTCTCTTCTTGTTGTTCTAATGTGCCATCAAGTCGCCTGTAGACTCCTAATGACTCTATATCCAATGACTGAACTCTGTTCTATCCTGAGCCAATCTGTCTCTGACACACCTACCACCATCACCCCAGTCACTGAGTTAATCTATATCATCGAAGGTCTTCTCCTGTGCTGTCCCTCTACCCTCCCAAGCATGATGTCCCTCTCTAAGGACCTCAAAGAAACAACCTGATTTCACCCTTTGCAGGACAAACCTGTTTGTTCTCCTAACAGTCCATGGTCAATACTCTTCTCAGCACCACAGGTCAAATGCATCAATTCTCCTATCATCTTTAGTCACTGTCCAGCTTTCTGATGCATAGAACGTAATTGTGAAGACCATGACCTGGATCAGGCTCACCTTAGTCTACAGACTGACATCACTGCTCTTCAGTACTCGGGAGAGGTCCCTGACAGCACACTTTCCCAATGCAATTTGTCTTCTGATTTCCTGGCTGCTGGTACCAAAATTGTGGAGCCAAGCAAACTAAAGCTGTTAACAATCTCAATCTCTTCACTGTCTATCATGATGCTGCTAACCAGCCCAGTAGTGAGAATCTTTGTTTTCTTGATGTTGAGCATCAATCCATACTGAAGGCTGCAGTCCTTGACCCTCTGCAGCAAGTGCTTCAGGTTCTCCTCAGTTTCAGCAATCAGTGTAGTGTCATCTGCATAACACAGGTTGTTGATGAGTCTTCCTCCAATCCAGATGCCATATTTCTCCTCACAGAGCCCAGCCTCCCGGATTATCTGTTCCATATATAAATTAAAAAGGTATGGAATTAGGACATATTCCTGATTTTAAATCATGCAGTGTTTTCTTGCTCTGTTCTGATGACTACCTCCTGGTCCAAGTATAGGATTCGCATTAGAACGACCAAGTGTTCTGGGATTCCCATTCTTCTCAGAGTTAGCCACAGTTTGTTGTGATCCACAGTCAAATGCCCTTGAATAGTCAATGAAACACAGGTAGACACTCCTCTGGTACTCTGCTTTCGGCTAAGATCCATCTGACATTGATAATGATGTCCCTAGTACCACAACCGCTTCTAAACCCAGCCTAAACTTCTGGCAGTTCTCTGTTGATGTGCTGGTCCAGTTGGTTTTGGATAATTTTCAGCAGAATATTGTTTGCATGTGATATTAATGATATTATTTGGTAATTTCACTTAGGTTTTACTTTAAGGGTAATAAATCACTAGTAAAATGCATTGTTATTATTATTTTACTTAAATATAAGAATGCTAAGACTTTAAACTCTGGTGGCCCAGTGGAGCTATGCTGCAATACTGAAGGCACACACAGTGGGAGAAACCTGGAAAATCTCCTCCTGTGTGATTAACTGCCTTAGAAAACTCACCAAAAGGTCTGCTGTGGGTCAATTCTGACTCTACAGTACACAACGACAACAACAACAAAACTTTAAATAATTTTGTTAGCACCCTAATATTTCATTCTGGAAAACAGGAATATACTTTTGACTCAGTAAGTCTTCTGAGTTTATTCTTACTTTTCAATATGTTTTCATCAAAAAAAAGTAACCAAAACCAACAACAACAAAATAAAGTGTCTGCCATTTGAGTGCATTCAAGTAGACAATCTCTATAGTAAGATGGCCTGAGGACCAAGAAGACCACAAAGGAAAATGCAACAGAGCCCAGGGCTCAGGTATGCTAAGGAACTGTCCTGTGAGCCTCTATATTCCTGCAGTGTTATGTTCATTCTGTGTTCATGGAAGATAGGGATGCTTCTTCATGTTACACTTTTTATCAAGTGAAAGACAGTTCCAGTGTCTCTGAAAGAGCTGGGCTAGACTTCTAATTAGTAACCACAGGAAGGCAGATCTTATTTATAGATTCAAAAGCAA